AACTTCTACAAAAAAGTCACATACTATAGGTTGGATATTGAAATGACTGGTATGTAGTATTTTTTAAGAACCTTCATTTTCTTGTTAGCATACATTTTTAATTTTTCACTTCTTAGTAGGATTTCATCTTGAAGTTTAACCTATCAAGTAAGTATAAAGTTTTACAATTCAGTAATCCCAGATTTTAAATCATTTAAGACAAATATGGAAATGTTCTTAAAATTAGTTTTCATCTTCTGTAACATCTAATTCTTCATCATCACCATCTTCTCCTTGTTGATCCTTTCTTAATTGACAGGTGGATATCTGTCCTGTTCCAGATGTGCACTTAGCAGACAGTGATCTCTGAAGAGGTGACTTTGAATTTGCTCTTACAATATCTAAATGAGATGGATAATCTGGTAGATACACAGAATTTCGGAAAACCTCTAAATCTTCATCCTCATCAATCTTTTGTATATTTTGGTAGGCAGCAGTGAAGACCTCTAAAGCTTTGCCATGAAATAACATTTCAATTGTGATAAATTCTGAAAATATATTCTTTATGTCCATTATTTTTTGCTTTTCAAAACTGTCAATAGTTTCTTCCAGATGTTGACTTGTTTAGGTAGCATCAATCGTAGCTCTCTGTAATTCAGTTTCTGCCTGTGAAATTACATGTTGATCAGACAGGTTTCGCTGGCGTGTCCTTTCTAATTGAGATAACTGCTTGGCTTCTCGATTCTTTGCTGTTAATGTTGCTTTGAGATCATCCCGTTTCATTTTTACAATGGTTCCATAAGCTTTCAAAGGTTCAACTACTTTGGCTTCAAGTCTTTCAACTTCTGCTTGGCAGTAATCCTGAAGTTTGGCAAACTCATCTGCAAAGTTTTTCAGACCCTGCTTCAAATTTGGGGTCTCTGTAGAGGCATACATGTTGATTTCATTCACCAGAAGGTCTGCTTTGTCGTAGCCTAGCAGTTTTCTGTATATAAGCAGCAAAGATTTGGCACGGCTCTCCAAAATGCATCTCCACGTTTGTGACAGCATCCTGTAGCTGTTTTGTTTGAGCATCCCGGTCTTCCAGGTTGCGCCTCAACATCCTGCCTTGTGCGCTACCAGGGACCCAGGCTGGGGGCCCAATGATGAGGGCTCTGAGGCGGCAGGGCCGGGAAGCACAAGTCGCCACCCCCCCTTTTTTTTAATATTTTATTTCTTATTTTTATTTTATGTGTACGAGTGCATTGCCTGCATGTGAGTGCACCCACGTCATGCCATGCTGCAGCGGTCAGAAGATTCCCCTGGAATTGGAGTTAAGGACGGTTCTTACCTGCCATGTAGGTCCTGGGAATTAAACTCAGGTCCTCTGCAAGAGCAGTCAGTGCTCTCAACCACTGAGCCATCTCTCCAGCCCATACTTGTTCTTAAATGTGCCTTCTGAACTAGACCATAAATTCCTTGAAAACAAGTACCTAGCTCTCCTCTCTTCCTCTCCTCTCCTCTTCCTTTCTCCTTCCTCTTCCTCTTCTCTCCTCAATCTCCCTTTCTCCTTTCCTCCTTCCTTCTCTCTTGCTCTCACTCTAGCTCTCATTCTTGCTCTGGGTTTTTGGAGACAGGGTCTCACTCTGTAGCCCACGCAGTCCTCACATTCACTGCGCAGCTCAGACTAACTTTGAACTTGCAATGATTCTCCTACCTCAGACTCCTGAGTGTTCAGTGGTAGGATTATAGAAGTGAACCATCATGCCTAGTTTTATTCTTACATACTTAAATTTGTAAACTGGATGATCCTTAGTCATTAAGATGAGTTTGGGTTAGGTGGTAACATGCATTATACACTTTAAAACTTTACCTCTGATAAAGTTAAAATTAAAACATGACAGCTAAAATAAAAAAAAAATACTCTGTAACAATCCCATTTACCAAGCACTCAGACAAAAGTAGCTTTACTAAATCTAATACTTCTAATCCCAAAGTCTTTTCTTGACTCTATGGAAACGGGCCAAGGAAAGGGTGAGAGTGGAGAAAGAAGGATTAGCGAATGGAGGGAGACTAGAAAACACAGCAGAGTATCTCATGGTTCTTCCATTCAGAGAAATAAAATAAGCAAAAGTGAGAAGTCACCCCAAACATAGAACAACTCTGTATGAGACTAAATAATAAATAAAACCATCCACTCTGGACACACCCAAGAACCCCAACCTAAGAACTTCCTTATAATGCTTTAGCTCAGAAAAAATTCCCCCATGGCCCTCAGTCAGCTGGCTAAAGGCAGTTTATAATACAATTCAATCTTCCCAAACTGTAAATGTCATGTTATGACCAGTTAGGTCACTTCTTGCAGTTTTGGTGGCTGTATCACTAATTTTTTTTTTGGTCTTTCTGAGACAAGGTCTCCCAGTAACCCCAGACGACCTGGGACTCACTATGTAGATCAAGCTAGACTGTATCTCACAGAGGTCTGCTGGAACTAAAGGCATGTGCCACCATGCCAGGCATATTTTTAAAAGGTTTCTATAAGGTTAAAACTTTTTTTCCTGAGGTGAAGACAGCTCAATAGTAGGTAGAGCACTTGATTATAATGTGCAATGCCCTAGGCTGGATCCCCAGAACTACCAAAAATAGTTTACTGTTTTCCTAGATCCATTTTTCTCTCCAGTCATGCAGTTGCAGTTATTACTCTCCAAACAAATCACATTTTCTTGCCTATGCCCTTGTTCCTGCTGTTTCTCTGCTCTCTTAATGACACTGTACTATCAACATTTAGCCACTAGCTATGTATATGTGAAATGTGGCAGTACAAATGTAAAGTACAAATTCGATGTCTAACATAGGAAAATGATTAAAAATTGTTTTAAAATAACGAGAATATGTTCAAAAAACATACTGGACATATTAAACAAAATATATGAAAAGTAATTTCACGTGTTTCTTTTTAGTGTTCAATGAGGCTAATGGAAAAAAATTATTTTATTGTACGTGTAGTCTGTATTGCCTGCATGTATGTAAGTACACCCGTGTCATGCAATGTCCGTGGAGGTCAGAAAAGGGAACTGGAGTTATCCACAGTTCTTTGATGCCATGTGGGTGCTGGGATTTGACCCGGGGTCTTCTGAAAGAACAGCCAGTGTTCTTAAGTAGTGAGCCATCTCTCCAGCCCCAGAAAATATTTAATTACATATGTGGCTCACACTACACTTCTTTGGGGCACTGCTAAGGTAGGTCTTACTCATTCTTCAAAGTCTAATGCAGACCACTGCTTCCACAAAACGTTCTTCATGCATTTATTAATTTGCATGAAACGCAAACTGAAGGTTTTCCTGTCTCTTCTGAACTCCCCTAACACTTTTATTCACACTTTGAAAGAATGAAATTAACTTTATCTTGTTAGTGTACCTGTCACTGTCTCCTGAGTTATATATATAAGCAAAGAAAGAAACCAGATTTAAGCTATCCTACATTTTTCTCCCACACCTTAGACAATACATATACTAAGATGCTTGATGTCTGCTAATTGAGTTGAACTTCTCAAGTGCTATATTACCTTCCCTTTCAATTATTTCCATGCTCCTCAATTAGTAGATGTCTACCAGCATCTTGTATTTAGATAAGCAGTGTCAATGAACTACACAACCTAACAAATACCTAAGTAGAGCATGGTTAAAGATCAATGCAAAAAAAAATTTACACAAGCTTCTAAAAGTCAGATTCAGTTGGGCATGGTGGCACACACCTTTAATCCAGCACCCAGGAGGCAGAGGCAGGGGGATCTCTTTGAGATCATGCCAGACTGGTCTACACAGTGAGTTCCAGGTCAGCTGGGGCTACTGGGAGACCCAGTCTCAAAAAAACAAAAACAAAACTGTGAGGGTAGTCAGGTGTGGTGGCACACACCTTGAATTCCAGTAATCAGGAAACAGGCAGGTGGATCTCTGAGTTCCAGGCCATCCAGGGCAACATAGTGAGACTCCGTTTTTTTTTTGTTTTTTTTTTTTTAAAGGGTCGGCATTATAAACTATTTCAAAAGTTGAAGGGGTGGTGAAAATGCTTATTGAAAAATTACTGGGGGCGGGGGTGGAGCTGGAGATGTACGAAGTTGGTAAAGCTTAGTATGCATGAAGCCTTGAGTTCGAGCCCCAGTACCACATAAACAAGTCATGGTGGTGCTCACCTATAATTCCAGCTCTCAGGTGTTGAAAGCAAGAGAATCAGAAGTTTATGGTTATCTTCAGCTACATAGGAAGTGTGAGGTCAACCTTTGGCTACATGAGGCCCTTTAAAAACAAAATCCTCCCCAAACCCCAGAGAGGTAGGTATGCAAAGATTTTGGAGCAACAAGAACAAAGTCTGATAGCATCCAAGACAATGAAGTTGTGAGGAAAGTGGTGGGAAGGAAAAAGAACTCATGTGAAAGACGAATGTTGGATACTTTGGGAGACAAACTATACTGTCCTGGAACTCGCTATGTAGACCAGGCTGGCCTTGAACTCAAGAGATCCGCCTGCCTCTGCCTCCCGGGTGCTGGGATTAAAGGCGCACGCCCGGCTTGATTTTTTTTTTTAAGGAGCCGAAAGGCTTCTCAACTATGTGGGAGCAATCCTGCTGAGTTTATCTCATAAAGTCGAGATGGTCCTTTCAAAGGATCTGGTCTCAGATGGTGTGCTAGACTCTCGGATCTCTATCCAAGCAACTTCCTCCTTAGTGTGCCCACTCCAACTCCCCCACTAAGGTCTTCGCCAAGCCCAGAGCTGGACCCACCAGCTTTTTCAGAGAGTGCAGGACGAAGCGGGAGGACCAAACCGAGGCCCAACATCTGGACCGCCCAGTTCCCCCCGGGATTCCACCCCAGCCCCGGGATCCCGCGGGCGGAGGGAACCCGGCGGGCAGAGGGGGCGGGGCAGGGCACCGGCGGAGGACAGGTGCCGCGCCCCACGCCGGGCCAGCCGGCACCTCAGGGACCAGCGGGATGGAAAAGGGGACGAGAAGGGGGCGGTGGGGATTAATCCCGGGCTCTCACTCACCAGCTGTCGCCGCCCGTCGTTGACAGTGGCTGAACCTCTTCTCCTTCCGCCATTGCTGTTGACGTCCACGTCACTTTGCCGAAAAGTGGACCTGGCGCCGAGCTCGACTCTGAGACTCAACGTCGTAAAAGGAGTTCAGAAGAGCGAAAGAGGGAGGAGGAGAGGGATGGAGGGATGCAACGTCACCAGGTCCCAAGGGCGAAAGGCGGTGTCAGGAACTTGAAGGAGGAAACTTGGTGAGACAGCTGCCAGCTGAAGACCACAAATCCCAGGATGCCTCGGGGACGCGGACGGAGTGGGCAGGCACGCGGACCAGGTGGCGAGGGCTTCGGGAGTTGGCGTCCTGGGCGGGGCCTCGGACTGGATGGGCGGGGCCTCGGGCGGAGAGGGCGGGGGAGGGGCGGGGGAGCGCGAGGGCTGGGGAGGAGGTTGCTTGAGTGTGTGGCTTGGCCCTTGGGCGTCAATTCAGTGTCCCCATTCTAATTTGTCATGAAACTATGAGGTAGACTTGAGAGTCCAGCTAGTGGAAAGATAGGGAAGTACGAATTCAGAGAAGGCGGAAAGGAAGAAAAGGAAGACCACCCTGTTTGTAGGGAGGGACCTATCAAAAAACAAGCAGAGGCCTGCAACATGGCTCAGAGGTAGAGCGTCCTCAATGCCCTGAATTCTGTCTCCAGCATTGCTGGAAAGCAAAAACACACAGGGAGGGTTGCATGCTTTATGTCTGCAGTTCTAAATCAAGCTATGTAGTAAAAATATGTTCTACACAGACACACAAACATATACACACACACCTACCTTCAATGCCTTCTACAGCCTGGAAGTTCAAATCCAGTTAGAGTTCTGGAACTTGAATACCAGATAGGAAAACTGCCAAGATCCTCTCCTTCCACCCCTATGCCCCCTTTATTTCTCCTATATGGACCTCTGGGTTTCACACCTAAGCTTCATCCATAGCACCAATATTACCAAAACACCGGCCCCTTGGCTACTCTTGTGCCCCTTGAAGTGGGCACACACTCAAGAGGATGGAACTAAGGAAATACTTCATACCTCCTAAACCCTAAGTCCTGGGAGAAGCGATGCAATAAAACTGCATGAAACATGGATAAATCTGAAAATGTCATGGTAAATGAAAACAGGTTACCGACAGATAACATCGTTTATAGTTGGTATTAATACATGAGGAATAACAGCATGTACACTTAAAAATGCAGTTGATACATACAAAAATTGGAAAGACGGTTACATTTTGGGTGGGGCAGAAATAGCTTGAAGTAAAGTAAGCTTGTGTTTGTTCTTTAGAGGTGGAGTCTTGACTCCAGGCTGGTGTCTTTGAACTGGACTCAAGCAGTCGTCCTGTTTCAGCCTCCAAGGAGATAGGACTACAGATGCTGAGCACTGTATTGGCTTTAATCTTTAATATTTCATTTCTAGGACCTGAGAAGTGCCTACACAGATGTCCAGTGTTCTTTATAGAGTCTATACTTTGGGATTTAAAATGTTCCATAATTTAAGCTGGGTGTGGTGGGGCAGAGGTAGGTGGATCTCTGTGAGTTGAAGGCCAGTCTGGTCTACATATCGAGTTCCTAGCCAACTATGGCGACAGGGAGACACTGTCTCAAAAACAAACAAAAACATTCCATAATTTAAAAATCTATTCATTTAAACAGAGTAGTAGAGCTGTCTCATTTATAATAAAAAACATGTTCACTCTCTTTCCTAAAAGGAGGCAACACAGAGCTGAATATTATTGCAGTCACTTCCAAGCCCTGGATAGTTTCATGATCTTTAGACTTTTGTTGGAAAAAGATCCTTTTTTACATAGAATATGGCTCTAGATGCCCATTAACACAGAGAATAAAAGATGAGACTCTAGGTCGAGTCAGCATCCTAACATCTAGGTCCTCTGATAGATCCCTTCAGTTGTTCCCAGTAAGTTTCCAGAAAATATTTGATTTAAAAACTATTCAGTCAGTGATGTGACAAATAATTGTTCTCTGGTCAATGTGAGTCTAGGCTTCAATTGCAGTTGTTTTGATTGTAGTTAAATTAGTGACTGCAATCTGGCCCCCACACCTTTAATCCCAGCACTCAGGAGGCAGAGGCTGGTGGATCTCCATGAATTCAAGGCCAACCTGGTCTACATAGTTAGTTCCAAGCCAGCTGGGGCTGCAGAAGACCCTGTCTCAAAAAGACCAAAAATAAAAACAAAAATTAGTGACTGCTTTATAGCCTCTGTGGTTAGAAAAAATCCTACTAAAAGCATATTATTTGACATTTTCAAACACTTCTTCAAACTGTAAAAATGGGTTGAAATTTAAACTTCTTATTCTATTCAGAACCAGCTATACAGGCATGCAACCTGTGCAACAGTATGAAACCCCATGTTTAGACATGTAGTGTCCTTGTTTTCATGACCTACTGTGCCATCTTGAAATTAATAAATGTGGAACAAGGTGTCTTCATTCTTCACTAATCTTCACAATTTAGGTAGTTGGTGTTAGTTAGGGTAAATAGCATATTAATGTATAATGAGACAAGCTTTCAGTTGAAATTCTTTGGTAATAATACCTTCAAGGGTATTTCTTCATTACTCATCTGCCTATTCTAAGTTCTCTTGATCTATGCATTGAGATCATGACAATCATCATGAATCCTGCCTCCTCCAATAACAAGTCTAGGAAACTGTGAAGTCAACTCCTTGAAACTTAGTTTGGTTTTGGTTTGTCTTTCTTGAACAGGTTCCTCAGATTCACTCTCTCTGCCATTTGCCTGGTTTTAGGTTGTTAATATCCAAGCTTCCCAGCTAGCACATATTTGAGTGGTAGGTAAGTCTTCCCCCTCTAAGCCCTTTCTCATCTTTCCTTTGTTCTCTCTTGACATCATCCACACCTTCCCTCACCTTGTCTGGTCTTCCGAAACAACAAACCCATACTGAATTCTTGATTTCAAACTTGAGTGTGCTGAGATATCACAGATACACAGATCCCTCTGCTTGTTGAATCTTCTAATCATAAGCCCTTCCTTGCTCTGGCTGTGGTTGTCCACACACATTTCCCCCTAACATGCTTCATTTCCTGAAATGACAAAGGTTATGCCATGCTCAGCAGAACATTTTCTAGTTGGCTACAAATTTGGGTGAGTGTTCTTTTTATTTTATAAATTCTCAATACCTGGGTTGTTATGTTTAAAAATCTAAACATGTGGTTACAAGTAGAATTTGTTAAATTCTAATGAGAGACCACTGCTTGAAACAAAAGTTGAAAAATCGTTTTAAGAGGTAAAGATTTCACTATGAAATTACCCACGAGTTTTTTTCTTACATTATTTTTCTCTCTTAACTATAATATTTTGTTGTATTTTATCTCCTTTTGTATTTCTTTATCTGGAGCAGAGAGGTTCAATGTCCCTTTTTTCTTTTTCATTAATGTGGTGCTATGCTTAAGTTATACTAGTAGTGGTAATCACTGGATCTGTGCATAATACAGTGCTCCCAAAATAGGTCTCTAGGAAAGGACTATGCATTCACAACCTCATTCATGTGGGGTGCCTCCCCAGCCTACACTTCTGTATCTTATTGTAGTCTCCACAGTCAAAAGAGAATATTTTTCATATTATCCTTGGATAAAATCAAATTTTATTTTTAAAGGAAAGTGCTTTAAATGAAATTGTAGAAAACTTTCTTGAGTTTGGTATGACTCATGATCTTTTGGAGTCATGATCAAGATATTGGCTAAGGCTGCAGTCACAAAGTCAACTGAAGACTTCACTGGGGCTAAAAGGTCATTCCATGGTAGGTCACTATTATATGGCTGACAAGCTGGTGTTGGTTGTTGACAAGAAGCCTCAGACTTACCCTCAAATGAGCTTCTTCATGACTCATTTAAGTATTCTGACAACCTGAGTTCATATCCCTGGGACCCACGTGGTGGAAAGAGGGAACTAGTTCCCCCAAGTTGTCCTCTGATCTGTGTGTGTGTGTGTGCGTGTGTGTGTGTGATAAAAATAAGAAAAAAAGAGTGAATTAAAACCAAGACCAAGCTGGGCATGGTGGCACACACCTTTAATTCCAGCACTTGAGAGGCAGAGACCAGTGGATCTCTGTGAGTTCAAGGCCAGTCTGGACTACATAGTGAGTTCCAGGCCAGCGGGAGCTACCGGGAGACACTGTCTGAAAAAAACAAAAAAAATTTAAATGCCCCAAACCAAAGCCACAATATTTTTATGACCTAGCCTTTGGAGCCAGATTCCTAGTCATTGCTCAGCTCTTTCAGTGTGGGAGGAAAGTACATACTCAAGGCTGGCTTCATGTTAAATCTTGCACATTCTGGGGCTGGAGAGATGGCTCAGCAGTTAAGAACACTGACTGTTCTTGCAGAAGACCCCAGTTTGAATTCCAGCACCCACATGGCATCTAACAACTGTCTGTAACTCCAGTTCCAGGGGATATGACAGTCTCTTCTGTTCTCCATGGGTATTGCATGACCCAGGTGGAGGCAATACACACATACACATAAAATAAAAATAATAAATAAAATATTTAAAGGGCATCTAACCTGTCTGTAACTCCAGTTCCAGGGGATATGACAGTCTCTTCTGTTCTCCATGGGTATTGCATGACCCAGGTGGAGGCAATATAATGCAGGCAATACACTCATACTCATAAAATAAGAATAATAAATAAAATATAAAAAACAGTGTGTGAATGAGAAAAAATATACGCTGTGGTCTGCATCCTCACCAGCTTTTGTTATTTGTTTTTTTTAAAGATTTATTTTACTCTGTGTATGTGTGTGGAAGAATCTGAGTGGGTATGTACATGAGTGCAGTGCCTGTGCAGCCCTGAAGAGGACATTAGATCTCCATGGAACTGGAGTTGCAGACAGTTGTTAGCCACCTTGTGGCTGCTGAGACCCAAACCCGGGTCCTCTGCAAGAGCAGCCAGTGCTCCTAACTGCTGATCTATCTCTCATTCCATTATTTGTTTTCAGAATGATTGCTGTTCTGACTAAGGCCAGATGGAATCTCTTTGTAGTTTTGGTTTGTAATTCTCTGTTGGCTAATGATGTCATTTTTTCAGATATTTCTTGGCCATTTCTGTCCATCTTGCTTTTCTATTATTTTTTTTCTTTAATTTTTGAATAGTTTCACACAATTATTCTTGATTATTTTCACCCCCTTCAACTCCTCCTAGAGTCACCCCTCTTTCCCAGCCCACCCCTCCTTCTGTTTTTTAAACCAGTACAAATCGTGCTTAATCTTCGTAGCATTGTCTGCTCACTTCTTTCTGGCTCCTTCTCATCTTGGCACACCTCTCCCAGCTGCCCTACCCCATGTGACAGGCATCCTCCTCTTTGAGGTCACAGATCATGCCACACCTTTCTGACAACTGATGTGACCCCAGGAGCATCACCCCTTGCCCTGCGACTCATCCCTCCTCAGCCACTGCCTCCCGGGAGGCTCTCTCGGCATGTGCTCAGTGCAGGGATCTGGGGAGACACTGTGCAGCAGCCACTGACTTAGTCACTTTTCTGGTGGGTGTGATAATGCACCTGACAAAAACAACTTGAGAAACATGGGCTTTATTTCAGCCCACACTTCGACATTTCAGTCTATCATGGTGGAGAATCCAGTGGCAGGAGTGTGAGATGACTGTTGGTGCTGAGCCTGTTTTCTCCCAGCCCATAGTACGGTGTCCCCTATAGTTAGGGTGCTTCTTCTTTGTTCAGGTTGCCCAATCCAGAAACTCCCTCACAGACATGCCCGGAAATCTGTCTCCTTGGTGATTCTCGATGCTGTCAAGTTGACGGTACCAACCACTGTACTCACACAAGTACTTTTTCCTTAGTCCTCAGGATCTTGACCGGAGGCCTCTCAGTGCCTGTCATGGAGGGCCAGTCCCTGCGCCTGGTGTGTGAGACTGCCAGCAACCCTCCTGCCTCACTGAGCTGGTACCAGAAGGCAAAAGCCCAGGGTCATTCCCAGATATCAGCATCTGGGGTCCTGGAGCTGCCCTCTGTGGAGGATGGAGAATTCACCTGCCAGGCTCAGCACTCACTGGGCTCCCAGCACCTTTCCCTGAGCCTTTCTGTACAGAGTAAGGAGCAGGACACTCCCTCTGGAGCGGGGTGGGGGTGGGGGTTTTTCCATACAGTGTAAGGAGCAGGACACTCCCTCTGGGGTGAGGGGGGGATCCAAACTCACCAGTGGAGTTTGGGATGGGGGTGGGGCAAAGTCATGGGGACAGAAGCCATCTCCTCCGTCTTTCAGAAAGTTCCTGTTCCTGCCTGTGTGCAGTTGAGAATCAGGAGGGTTCCTGGCCCCTGGTCCTCACCCTGATCAGAGGGACACTCATGGGAGCTGGCTTCCTCCTCACCTATGGCCTCACCTGGATCTACTATACCAAGTGAGCAAGCCTGCCTGTCTCTGAAGAAGGGTTCCAAAGTTTCACTGGTGTCTGGGCTGTCCTGACCCATCTGGAGTTAGAATTAAAGGGCTTCACTATGATTACTATCCTGTGGGCTCTGCAGGTGTGGTGGTGCCCTCCAGCCCAAGAATGTGAAGAGTCACTGAGCCATTTCTCATCACTGGGGACTAAGGCCGCGTCACAGAGCCGTGAGGTACATTCCACCTGGGAACTCTCCACTCAGAGCCAACAGATGCCTCTGCACCCCGTGGACCGCAGTCCCTGCCTACTTACCCACTGATCTGTACGGATCCCACCTCAGTACACTGCATCTCCACCACCCTTTCCCTCCCACCTTGTCTTACTCGCTCCCAGCCCTGTGAGAGGCATGAAATGGGCACCCTACCCCACATGACCAAGAACTCATGTTACCACTTGAGTCTCTGGCCCCCCAACTTGCCTATCAGTGTAGACATGGATGTATGTCCAGTCATGAGCAGAACTTTTCCTTTGCAGTTGAAATGCCTACCTCATTAAATTACTGTAAGAGATCATAGTATTTAAATATAAGCAAACAGTTCATTAAACTATACAACATAAAAAGTCATCTCAAGGTCAGCAAGATGCCTCACTGGGTAAAGATGATGGCTGGGCAAGTTTTGTTATTAAGTTCAATCATCAAGCC